ATGTGTGCAAAACTCAGATTACTATGATTTATCTGCATTAAAAAAGTGGTCGGGGAGGAATGAGTTATACACCCTGAGAGAGCAGACATGAAGCTATTTAAAATACGAGATAAGGTGGCAGTCCCCACAGGCTAGTCTCTGACCTTTAACAACAAAGACTCTAATTAAGTCCTGACACACAAACAGGGAGAAGAGGCTTAATAGAAATGCAGTCACGAAAAAAGAAAAAGACTTAATGGATCTCACTGACCTTCACTGAATTCATTTCTACATTCAGTCCATTTCTATCACACTGACAACTCAAGTCATGTTTTGAGAAAACAACTGAAACATAATAAATAAGCATAAAGATATAACTTCAGTCACAGTCATAGTTTATAGAAAAAGTCCTAAATCTGTATGAAAGGTTAAACCAGACGCTGTAGTGTAAAAACTCTGAAAGACACATGTTTTGCCTTTAATACCGTCAGTGACTGATTGTTGTGAACAGTTTTATAACCAAAACTGGGCTGCTGATTGGTTAGTCGATCAACAAAATGAAGCAGGTAAAACAATTAATAAATGAGTTGAAGAAATAAGAGATTAATTCAAAATCCACATAATCCACTTATTGCTGGATTGTGAAGCACTTGGTGCATGTAATGTCTTTGCTGAAAAGCACTTTGAGCTGCATTTCTTGTATTGCGTTTCTTCAGGTGACTTTAGTTTCTTTGTACATCTTGAAACAATCTGCTTTGACAATAATAGTTAAGTGCTGAAGGGTTCATTCTTTCTGTGCTTCGGGAAAGTCAGAGTTAATTCAAAGTTTGTGTGTCTCTAAAATGTTGTGATTGTGTTTTCATGTGGCAGTAAGACAACCAGACGTTGTTGTGCTGTCACACACATGGCTGTTGGACTTTGTGGCCACGACTTTAACCGTCACGCAGATCCAGCAGCGATTAAGTCTTATCTGAAGGATGTGCGCCGCTCTCTAGCTCCATTCCAGCACTGGTCAGAGCACCCACCCATCACAGCTCACATGGCGCCTCAGGCAGCGCGCACACACACACACACACACACACACACACACACACACACACACACACACACACACACACACACAGGAAACACAGATCTGAACAGACAGCGGCATTCGATCCACAGGGAGTCACATGCACCGCTGCGAACCCAATCACACACACTCAGACGTCAGCAGAGGTTTATGTTTGGCATAAACACTGCAGCACTGTATAATCCATGTTACCAATGTTGAGCTGTTACTAATTAACAGCTTGCATGTCAGGAATATGCTGATACACAGAAACACTTACTGTAAGGACAATGGTTAATTTTAGACTAGATATCAGTGATGATTTAACAACAATCACAAAGAACAGAGGGCGATGCACAACGACCTGTAGAATATGACATGCCAACGTTGGTTCCCAAAGAAACCTGCTATGTTTTTGGTTCCAGCTTGGAACCAACTTCTTGGCTTCCAAACCAATTTATTTCGGGTGAAATGCTCCCAACAGTTAAAAACAAGGTGTATGAACCAGAATGGAGCCGGTTCCCTGTCGGTGGAAGAGGCTTATATTGCTCGACTGCCAAGTGTGTTATTAAGTTTTCCACTCCAGAGTTCAGCAGACAGGAAGTATTGTACAGTGCAGTGCAGAGAAATCCCCTGCAGCTTCTATCCATTCATGTCTGATTTCTTGCTTATTTCCTTTCACAAGAAGTGACGTAAACAAGTTTCACAGAAAACTGAGGCAGCAAATCAATACATTACAGTTTTTTGGAATTTCTAAGACACATTCCTTGAAACTTTCCACCCTTTTATCAAAACTATAAAACACAAAACCAAATCTTTGGACTACATTTACAAAACCTCTTACTCTTCAAAAAGATAAAAATAATACAGACCAGAGATTCATTCTGCCTCAGCATCACGACTTTGAGTCAGGGCAGAGGATTTTGTCTACATCACAGGCAATGTTCTCCTCTTCCAGGCAACAAGGGAAAAACCCCTCTGGTGTGCCAGATCCAGCCTCGACAAGACTCCACACCTACGTCACCGCAGGCAGAGTCCATTGCCTGCAGGAGATTTTCCCTGCTACAGCCGGTTTTGGTCACAGATCTATCACCGCCATGCAGAGAAAAGCTCACACAGCCAGTTCGCTGGTTGATGTTAAGTCTCTATAGTATCTGGATTCTAACCCTGTTATGTCTTTATTTGCCATGTTATTAAATCCCTGCCAATTCAAAACCTGCTGCTCTAGTTTCAAGCATATTTATATTTTCACATTACATGTAGGAAACATTTGGGAAAATAGCACTGATAAAAAGAGAGAGGGTTGCACATTCAGATCTTCCTCATCTCTAAAGAGTATCTCTGTAACACTGGACCTGCATAAAGCTGCCGGAGTGAGAGAAGCTAATGAACTCTATAAGTTCTGAAATAACCCAATAAAAATAATAAAATCTAAACTGGAAAAAAAATATGCTTTTCAGAGCCATCATTCATGATTAGGTGCTTCAGCTTTCAGGCTGCCAAAACCATTTAAAATCTCTACTCGTGTCATCTTTCATGGTGCTTTGAGTGTCTGGTTTTCTCAGATTTTCGTCATCACATAAGCATCTGCAGCCAGTTCAAATCATTTTGCAATCATGTCAGTAGACACTGGAGCTTTAATGATGAATCCGTTGTCATTACTAGCATTAGCATTAGTAATAGCACAGTAATGGTAATAGATTCATTTCAATCTAATTACAACACATACTTCAGTAAATAGATAAACTCATACACGTATCTTGGTAGCAAATAGGACACATTTAAACCAAAACACAAACTTTGACCAGCTAATCAGATCTTTACAGAGAAAATGGCTACTTTAGTACAATGAGTTTATCCTGTTCTATATTTATGCCACACAGGGATTAAAACAAACGGAAACATTTCAACCCAACCGGACGAATCCAGAATCAACAATAAGCGAAAGGTTAACTCTCAAAAACTTCACAGAAAAATGTGTCAGAGACCAACAAAGTTTAATGTTGACGAGTCCTTTTTCATAATCCTCCACCTCCTCAGTGCCAATGTATATGACTGTTCACTGTGAGCAGCTTCAGGATTAAGCTTTTTACCTATGTAGGTCAAACTTCACATAGCTTTATTCCATAGGACATCTTTCTTTCTGACTCTTGTTTTCAAGGCAAATATCAGCCTGAAAGTTCATCTCAGTGTGTTCAATTTCAGCTTTTACAAGATATCTGCATACAGCGGCACACTGTTAACAGTCTGTAGAGGATTTCCTTCATAAACTGCAACAGGTACTCAGACTACCGATGAATCACAATCTGAAGTAAATAACAACAGCTGCTCAGTTTGTGTGTTATGTGCACACCTATAATGTAGTACAAGTAAACAGAGCTACCTACAACCATGTCATCCCCTGCTGCCCTCAGATGTAATCTTGTTGGTATTTAGCGATTCCCATCTGCTTCAGATTTAAGGGTGAAGTAAAATACAAACAGCTGCAGAAAACATCTTGTTTGTTCTCTGGCATGTTTGGGTGTGGTCTGATGTACACATCCTGCTGCTCTTATCTGCGATAACACATGTGGGCATTTAGGAAATACAGTTACCACTGAGAGGGGGCGAGGGGGTAGCAATATGGTAGCAATAGTTAAAAATATTACTATTGTGTTTTTCACTAGTTTTTGCTGAACAATTTTTAAGGTACTGATTTTCTGTTTCTAAAACTTTCATTCATGTTTTTTTAAAGAAGAAAAATAAATCATCATCATTATTAGTTTCAAACTTGAGTTTGACTTAAAAATAAAAAATAAAATGAAGACACTGAATCCTACACACCGGACCTTTAAGTGAATTTATTTTATTTCTTAAAGATATTTCAGAGATTTCTCCGTGCACCACTGGGCAGCTCATGTACCACCAGTACCACAGTTTGAGAAGCAGTAGACTAAACCATACGATCCAAACTGAACGTTTTTTTGACCCCGTACAATGACGCATAGTCTGCTTGCAACCCTTGATCAACCGCTACTTCCCTTGCTTATCTGACTACTTGTTAGAAGTGACCACAACTAGAAATTCACTAGGAAAAGCTGATTATAGAAAAAGGTCTGGAAAATTAAAACATAATAATGTGTTTTTCTTCTGTCCTACACTGTCAATCATTCATCAATGTATCATTAGTTTTTTAAATGTTGCATTCATTTCAGTTACTGACTCAGGACCATGATCACATAGGGAGCACAAACAAAATATAACAGAATGATATCACACAGCAGACAAAGTTAAACAAAGGAAGGAAATTCTAGTTTACAAACGACTTCAGGCTTATTAGATTGTAATAACAAGATTCATCATAAAAAAAAAATCAATGAATTCTGGTGTTGTTTGCTCTAAAACTAAAAAGGTCTTGCCTGTACTTTTAGTTTTCATACAACAAATTTAAGCTTTTGCTTCAATTCTGTGGTCACAGCCGCTTGTGGGGATCCTGAGGTTAGGAACCAGTTTCCTTTTATAACCTTCATTTCAATAAATACATTTTCAGCATTCTACAGGACCTCTTGGACAAAACTAAATCCATACTTTGGAAGAAGAGCACATATGCTTAGAAAACTAAGTGTGAACTGAAGCAGTTGTACAAATATTCTTTCACAGGACTTTTGTTGGACAATGCTTATTAAAAAGCACACAAACTAATCTGAAACAGGCGGAAGTCGTTTAAACTACCTTTATTATCCAGGTGACACATCCACAGGAAGTCAGACATTGTGCACGCACTCTGTTAAACAATTAACAATTGATTTTAAATGATTTACTGATCAACAACAACCTGAACATCAGAATCCAACAGTGCAAACACTGAACTGGGAATGAGAAACCGTTCACTAACTATAGCTTTAATTAGCTGACATTTAATTACATTAATTGAGCTCTACTCTCAATTAATGGGTCGCACCTGTTCACGAGTATAAAGAGTTCGTCTTACCTCTGAAGAATATAAACCGCTCGCAGATCCGCTTGCTGCGGCTTTAAAGCCTCCAAAAGAAAGACTCCTCAAACATAGACCCGCACCGGGACCAGGACGGATGGATGCAGCCGGTAGTCGGGGTCAAGTCCCTGTGAAGGGGACGGGAGCTGCTATGTTTGTTGGTGTGTCAGTGGTGTGTCAGTGGAGTGTTGCGTTCACTGCCGTGCTGTATAATTCTTGGCTCCCTCCTCCTCCTCCTCCTCTGTAAGGAGATTTTCCTCCACCTGGTCTAGCGTCATCAGCCAAACACCAGCTGGAGCTCCGGGGCTCCAGTCTCAGGACTGGACACACCTCCCATCTACTCCTCTTTTGCAAGAGGAGGAATGTATGGAAGACCAATACTGCCAGGAAAACAAAAGAAAAACCAAAAATATAAAAACATACTAATTCTAGTTAAAACAGAGATACAGAGTCAATGTAATTATAGAAATATTAAAACACTTTTAAATTAGAATTATTTATTCCAATTAGCAGATAACATACTAAATTGATATTATGAGACACGACCTCAAAATATTGTCTCTTTTAGTCAAAATTATAGGAAAGTAGGAGACATTTCATGAAGTAATGAGTCAAATTAGGTTAAAGTTTTGATTCATTATCCCATAATCTTTAAAAGTCACAATTGTGACTTAGTACAGTGTGTCTGATGTTTGAAATAAGTACCATCTCACTATTTTGACTTCAAATAAGGTTATTTAAATCATTTGCATTGTTTTGTTTTTGCTCCTTCTGACAAAAAGTTTATTAAATAAATAGATAAATTATTACAACATACTGAAGCATCATTATGAGACACAACCTGAAAAATGTGTTTCTTTAAGTCAAAATGATAAGAGAGTAGAAGACATTTTGACTTTGTAATTTTATGTGATCATAAATAAAAAATAATTACTTTTTAAGTCAGAATTATGAAAATAAGAGAAATGTATATATGCAATACTAAGCCAAAATCAAACAGTGGTAAATCATAATTCAAAATTCAATTGACTGGTGAAATTGAGCTTCCATATTGATCATTATTATTACTGAATTATTAATAATTGATCCAATAATTACTCAGTTGGTTATTAAAACCCAGTTACATGAGCTTCCTCAGCTGTTTGTCCAGCTGTCATAGAAATAAAGTTCAAATGTTGATGCCTTCTGAGCACTTCATTTGCTGATATGATCAAAAGCTTCAAATTGTTTTATCAACTGCAGTTTTCAAGCTCAGATAATAACAATTATTCTTTCAAAATGTTCATTTTCAAATGTATTTTCATCTCATAATGGCAAATTTTTTTATTTACTACTATAGTAGTAAGTACTACTAGTACTTAGTAGGTTTAAAATGATTTCTTAGGGGCCAACAACTCAGACACATGAGCACCTGAAGAGTTTCAGGATGTTTTAAGAGAGTTTTAGGAAACCTGGATCCTGCAGCAGCACCGTTAGCCTCAGACAACGTGTGAAAGGGCAGTCACCTCACATCAGCGCTAGCTTTGCCCCACAGAGACAAAAATAATCAGATTATTCTCCAGAGCAGCTTGTTTGGTTCGTGCCGGGAGGCTTCCACTGTGTGTTGCTCTGTTGGTTTACTGTCTCCTCACTGATGTTTAACCAATGAGAACAGCATGACTGCTTAATGCCCCGAAGCCAGGAGGCATGACTCATATTAGCAAGAGTGCATCCTCCTCTGAATGATTTATCAAACAGATTCAGGACCCAGGGTGCAGCCATGGAGGCAATGAGGCAGCTAAACGCAAGCTGATGTGAAGGAGGAGGATGGAGGCAGTGGAGTGCGTTTAAAAACATTCTTCTACCAGCTGAAACATGAACATGTCAGTTATGCAGGAGCTACTGTCCATATTAAAGCAATATAAACCTGTGCTACATCAGCCAACACCACCAATGGATGACATAACATGAATGTTACAAGTGCAGAAAAAAGCAGAATAACAGACAGATGCAGGTGAGCATGACTCAGTTGCCTGGCTGTAAAGCTGCTGAAGCTCATATTGTTTCAGTTTTTGACTGAGCTGCCCTATATGGTTGTACTTAGGCACACACATTTCATTCATTTCTGTGAAGAAAACTAAATGAAATAGTTATTTTTAAAGTTCAGATTATTATTTAAGATCTAAACCGAAAACCAACATTTGCGGAGCCCTCAGTCTCTGATCAACAACCTTGTCCTGCATTCGATTACAACCAAAGAGCTGAAAGAACAGTGGCCAGACATCAGGGAGAAGAAAACACTGAATCTGCAAGACGCTCTGAACTAAATCAGAAGTTTTAGATTTAGTAATCAGTGTATTGATTTGGTGATCCTCTGTGTCTAAGTTGTGAGGCTGTCAGATCACTGTAACATTAAAGGACCATGGTACTGAGGAAGGCCTCAGGTATTTGACATGTAATTAACACCTGAATGGATAATAGCAGTGTGGAGAAAATGACTCTGTTGCAGGTGTAAGGCCATTTTTGGATACCGGCAAATATTGGGGTCAACTCCTTTGGTGCCTGCTACTTAAACCCAAACTGAAAACTTAGATGTCCTTTTGTTAAGAACATTTTAAGAATAAATTTGATTTACAAACGTTCAAAACCAACACCTAACCATTTCTGCACTATGTAAAGATCCATATAAACGGTCTCTAAACTGAAATTCTTGGACTTGGTTTTGTTTTGGAATTGTTTCCAAAACAGCAGAGCATCAGCCATTTTATATATTTTGCCACTGAAATTTAGTACAGGGGTTTGAATGTGAGACATGCAACTTATAATTATTTACAGAAATTAAACAGAAAAGGTTGACTTTATTCTAATGTTTTTATTTAACTTGTTTATAGGAATAGTTGTATATGTCTTGATAGCCAATTTAACTCTATGTTTTGGTGGTGGGAGGAAACCGTAGCACCCGGAGAAAACCCACACGAAGCCCGACTGGGAATCAAACCCAGGACCTTCTTGCTGTGAGGCAACAGTGCTAGGCACTGAGCCACCATGCTGCCCAAAGCAACCATTGGGCTGCAAATGTATGAATCCTACTATGGCGAAGGCATGACCCACCTCACTCTCTGATCGACTTGGACTGGTTGCCTTCATTGGTTGAGCTGGTTTGGGTAAGGATATCAGGATAAGCCAGTCAGAGGAAGAGTCTGGTAGGTCACGCCTTCGCCAAAGCAGGATTCGTAAATGTATGACGGGCTCAAGCTCTCTATGAAGCTGACGAGCAACCTCTGAGGAGGATGGTGTTCATTAGGAACCACAGTCCTCCTACCCTTCTGCAGCTGCTCTAGAGCAGCATGCAAACATCTTGACAGTTCCTCTTCCTTGGCTTCCTGTCGGTCACTTCTCTGAACCTCCTCTCCAGCTCCTCTAACCTCTCTGCCCACTCTCGCTCCTTCTCTTGCAAGACTTCTGTTGACTCTTGACGTTGGACGTTCAGCTGCTCCTTGGCCGACTGCACAGCAGTTGCAAGATTGTCATTCTCCACTTTGTGACTCTTTATAAGAATCTCTTGGGCTTCCCAAGCCTGATCGATTGCGTCCCCCAAGATTTCCTGAAACCGACTGAGCTTCATGAAAATCACTTCCTCCTCTTTGTTGATCTGAGGAATCTCACTGTCTGCAGTCTCTGAAGCAGGTGCAGACAGTTCACTCTCTGTGTTGCAGAGCATACGTTTGTGGAACTTCTCCATGACTTGGAGTGCCTCCTGCATCTTGACACAGAGATCCTTACCTGTTCTTACAGTCTGAAGCTTCTCGTCTGTCTTTGGCTCTGCAGCCTGCTGTTCAATGGACAGAATGCTGAAAGCGTGCTTCTCCAGCTCCTTTGTGGATTTCTTCAGCTGCAGCAGAAGCTCTGACAGATCAGCAGGAGCCTCTATCCTCCTCTGACTAGGAGACTGTTGCAGCTGTTTTTGGGCCTCCTGCAGCTTGGAACGAAGATCCTCACTAATGGCAGATTCTGCACACAATCTGGAGGCAGAGCTCAACTGGTCCTCCTTCATCTGACAGCAGAGGTCCTGAATAATCTTATCTGTTTTCACAGTCAACTGGTTCAGCTTCTGACGACCTTGATCGAGCTGGAGTTTAAATTGTTTAGTTATTTTTACTTGGACTTTAAGCTTGGCAGCATACTCCTGGTTTTTGACTTCGGCGTCATTCAGCATCACTTTGACAGCTGCAGCTTCTTCCCTCAACTCTGTTATACCAGGAGTGTCCATTGTTCTTTTACCCTGGAGCAGATCAAGGACTGCACTCTGGGTCTTATATTTAAACTTCAGGTTGGACCTTTGACACCTGTTACAAGACAACAGCTTCATCTTGGTGGAGAGTAGTTCTTCACTCACCTCCATCTCCCAGTCTTTAACATATAATCTCACCTGGCGGTCAAGAGCTGTTTCTGTTGCCATTTTTCTTTTTCTCTTTCTAGTGTGTTCTGATTATGTGTGTTTCTTCAGTGAACAATATTTATCCGTCTAGTCGCCTGTCCTGATTAAACTGTCCTGATAGATGCTGAATTAAAATCTCTTCGTTCAGTCTCATTCCTTTATCCGACAGCATTCCGTATGACATCATCAAAGGCCTCTTTTTCATTCCTTTGATGATGTCAGACGGAATGTTGTCGCATTCCAAAATTACATCGCTCAATAAAAAAGTACATGGATACCATGGTAACAGCAGATGTTTTTATTTAAATAACTTTATCAAAACCTGTATCACATACAATACATATAGTTACACACAAAATATAACATTAATAACACAAGGCCCAACAGTACGGGCAAAAATGGAGGAAAATAAAACAAGGCTCTTCTTTTAAAAGTCTATAATAGTCAATCAATATTAACAGTGAATGGCATTATTAGTAAAAATGAGACATGAATTAAATTCAGTGCAGATGGTATAAAAGGCTATAATGTGTGTTTAAATCTGCATTAGGTGAAAAGGGTATAGCAAACTAAAGAGACAAAACTATGCTATACTTTTTATTATGCTTGTTGAACAGCTTATGCTGTAGCCTACTGGAATTGTACTTCTATAGCACAGTGCCTTTTTTTTTAACCAAAAAGTTAAGGTAATGTTACAAATACTCCGCTCATCTATTAACAAACTAATTGTTTTTAGCTTTATATTTTATTTCATATTCACTGACACATAGTCAACCAAAGCGTAAAGATAGTGAGTCATTTATGAATCAAAGCGATGACATCAACCCTACCACTTCTTTTAGCTATCCTGTTAAAATATAGAAGAACTTTTTGTAC